GTTCTTTGTTGAAGAGGGTCTGTGCAGACTTTCTGCCTATTCTGCCATCTTGGAATCAATCTCAAAAAGAGAAAATCTGAAAACTGTATAATATATTGAATTACATAAGTAAATTTCAGATCTCTGACCAAAAGCTTAGTGATTTGATCCAACCAGTGGCTCCACTGAAGGAAAGACCTATCAACCTACACCTACAGATATTTTGGCTTAGGAAATCCTATGGGGCAGTTGTACTATGTCCTATAGGGTCATAATGAGTTGGAATCAACTCAATGGAACACAACAAAAATAATGACAGTAAAATGGGATGAAGAAGCTAAGACGAGGAAGGGGATATGTAGGAAGTAACAGAAAAGTAAAAGGAAATCTGTTGGTGCAGCCATTAAAGAATTTGGTTGCTAAACAAAAGATTAGCAGTTTGAACCCACCAGCCTCTCTGTGGGAGAAAGATGAGGCAGTCTGTTTCCTTAGAGATTAACAGTCTTGGAAACCAAAAGTTATTGTAGTTAGGTGTCAGCAAGTCAGCTGTGACTCATAGGGACACTATGTAAAACAGAAAGAAACATTGCCTGGCAGTGAATCAACCTCAAAATTCTTGCTATACCTGAGCCCATTGTTGCAGCCACTGTGTCAATCCATGTCATTGAGGGCCTTCCAATTTTTGGCTGACTCTCCACTTTACCAAGTATGATATCCTTCTCCAAGGAATGGTCCCTTCTGACAACATCACAAAAGTATATGAGACAAGGTCTGGCCATTCTTGCTTCCAAAAAGCATTCTGGCTACACTTCCTCCAGGACAGATTTGTTTGTTCTTCTGGCAGTCCATGAACTTTGCATTACTTTTCACCATTATTTTCATTATTTTTTGAATTCCACAATTCAAAAGCCTTAATTCTTCTTCGGTCTTCCTTATTCATTGTCCAGCTTTCACATGCATATAAGCTGACTGAAAACACAATGGGTTGGGTTAGGTGCACCCAAGTCTTCAAAAGCCATCTTTTCTCTTCAGCACTTTAAAGAGGTCTTTTGCAGCAGACTTGCCTATAGCAAGATGTCATCTGACTTCTTGATTGCTGCTTCCATTGGTGTTGATTGTGGAATCAAGTAATATTAAGTCTTTGACAACTTCAATCTTTTTTCCATTTATCATGATGCTGCTTATCAGTCCAGTTATGAGGGTTTTCATTTTCTTTACGTTGAGGTGTAATCCATACTGCATATAGTAGTGTTTAATTTTCATCAATATGTGCTTCAAGTCATTTTCACTTTCAGCAAGAAATGTGTTCTCTGCATATAGCAGGTTGTTAGTGAGTCTTCCTCCAATCCTGATGCCATGTCCTTCTTCATATTGTCCAGCTTCTCGGATTATTTGCTCAGCATACAGATCAAATAAATATGGTGAAAAGATACAACCCTGATACAATCCCTTCTGATTTTAAACAATGCAGCATCCCCTTGTTCTGCTTGAATGAAAGCCTCCTGGTGGATGTACAGTTTCCTTATAAGCACAAGTAAATGTTCTGGAATTCCAGTTCTTTTCAATGTTATCCATAATTTGTTATGATCCACACAGTCGAATGCTTTTGCATAGTCAATAAACACAAATAAACATCTTTCTGGTATTCTTTGCTTTGAGCCAAGCTCCATTTGACATCAGAAAAGATATCCCTCCTTTCATGTCCTCTCCTGAATCCAGTTTGCATTTTGGAAGTTCCCTGTCAATATATTACTGCAACCATTTTTGAATTATCTTCAGGAAGATTTTACTTATGTGTGATATTAATGATATTGTTAAATATTTCCCACATTCTTTGGGATCACCTTTCTTTGCAATGGGTACAAATATGGATCTCTTCTAATCAGTTGCCCAAGTAACTGTCTTCCAAATTTCTTGGCATAGATTAGTAAGTGCCTCTAGTGTAGCATCCATTTGTTTAAACATCTTAAGGGATACTCAAGGAACTCTGGTAGCTTAGTGCCTAAGGTATTTGACTGCTAACCAGAAGGCTGGCGATTCAAATCCACCAGCCACTGCTCAGAAGGAAGATGGGGCAATCTACTTCCGTAGTGATACTGCCTCAGAAACTCAAGAAGTGGTCGCTATGAATCAGGTCCGACTCAATGGCACATAACAACAACAACAACAAAAAGGGATACTCCATCAATTCCTGAAGCCTTGGCTTCTTCCTTCAATACCATGGGTTCTTGATCATACACCACCTATTGAAATGGATGAACATTGACCAATTCTTTTTGGTATAGTGACTTTGTATTCCTTCCATCTTATTTTGATGCTTCCCGCATCACTCATTATTTTGCCCATAGAATCGTTCAGTATTGGAACTTGAGGCTTGTCAGTTTGTCGTAATGCCAGTTTGTTGTATTGTCATGGTTTGCTTGTTGCTGTAAAGCTGGAGGACATGCCACCTCCCACTACAAATATTTGAAATATTTGTATTTCAAATAACAGCAGAGTCACCCATGGTGGAGAGGTTTCAGAGGAGGTTCCGGACTAAGAGTCAGAAGAAAGGAAGGGCTATCCACTTCTCAGAGTAATGGCCAGTGCAAATCTTATGAATAGCAGTGAAACGTTGTCTGATATATTACTAAAAAAATTAATGAATAGTACTGAAACACTCTCTGATATAGTGCCAGAACATGAGTCTCTCAGGTTGGAAGGCACTCAAAATACAACTAGGGAAGAGCTGCCTCCTGAAAATAGAGTTGACCTTAATGACATGGATGGACTAAAACTTTTGGAACCTCCATTTGCTGATGTGGCTTGACTCAAAAGGGGGAAGAAACAGCTGCAAACATCCATTAATGATCAGAACATGGAATGTATGAAGTATGAACATAGGAAACTTGGAAGTTGTCAAAAATGAAATGGAACACATAAAGATTTATATCCTAGGCATTGTTGTTGTTGTTATGTACCATCAAGTCAGACCCAACTCATAGCGACTCCTCCTTGGGTTTCCGAGGCAGTATCACTATGGAAGTAGATTGCTCTGACTTCCTTCTGAGAAGTAGCTGGTGGGTTTGAACTGCCCGCCTTGTGGTTAGCAGTCAAGTGGCTTAGGCACTACACTACCAGAGTTCCCATCCTAGGCATTAGTGAGCTAAAATGGACTGATTTTGGCCATTTTGAATCAGACAATCATATGATCTACTATGCCAGGATGATAAATTGAAGAGGAATGGCATGGCTTTCATCGTCACAAGAATGTTTCAAGATCTATCCTGAAGTACAGGGCTTGTCAGTGATAGGATAATACCCATACGCCTACGAGGAAGACCAGTCAGTACTATTATTCAAATTTACACACCAATTACCAAAGCCAAAGATGAAGAAATTGAAGATTTTTACAAACTTCTGTAGTTTGAAATTGAACAAACATGCAATGGAGATGTGTTGATTATTACTGGTGATTGGAATGCAAAAGTTGGAAATAAAGAAGAATCACTAGTAGTGGGAAAATATGGCCTTGGTGATAGAAATGACACTGGAGATTACATGGCAGAATTTTGTAAGACCAACAACTTATTCATCGCAAATACTTTTTTTTCAACAACATAAACAGCAGCTACACACATGGACTCTCCAGATGGATACAAAGAAATCAGGTCGAATACATCTGTGGAAAGAGGTGATGGAGAAGCTCAGTATCTCCAGCCAAAACAAGCCCACAAGCTGATTGTGGAACAATCAACTGCTCATATGCAAGCCCAAGTTGAAGCTGAAGACAATTAAAACAAGTCCACAAGAACCTAAATATGACCTTGATTACATCCTACATCAATTTAGAGACCATCTAAATAATAGATTTGACCCATTGAATAGCAATGACCAAAAACGAGAGGAATTGTGGGATGACATCAAGAACATCGAAGAGAGCAAAAGGTCATTACCAAGACAGGAAAGGAAGAAAAGACCAAAATGGATGTCAAAAGAGCGTGAAATATACTCTTGAATGGAGAATAGCTAAAGCAAATGGAAGAAATGACAAGATAAAAGAGCTGAACAGAAGATTTCAAAGAGCAGCTCAGAAGAAAAAGTCATTTACTATAATGAAATGTACAAAGATTTGGAGTTAGAAAACTAAAAGGTCAGCACTTCTTAAGCTCAAAGAACTGAAGAAAAAATTCAAGCCTCAAGTTGCAGTATTGAAATATTCTATGGAAACCATATGGGGCAATTCTATTATTTCTTATAGAGTCATTGTGAAGTAGAATCAATTTGATGGCAGTGAGTTTGGTTTTCTTTTTCTTTAATTTTTCTTAGAGAAAAGTAGTCATTATTGGTCTCATCCTACCTGTAAATCTAGCTTTTACTATTCAACAACTTCAAGCCTTTATTAGGCTTTGTCAGTATTATCATCACCCTTCCAGCATGCTATTCTTATTAAAATGATTCAAGACTTGTGGCCATGTGTCTGTTTCTCAGTTAAGTGATGTTTTCTCATTTATTTAACCGACATTCTAAAAATCTTTTTAAAGTATATTTCTAATTATACTTTCTCCATGGAATCTTCCTAAGCTCTCTTATTTTTGTAAGGAGCTCTGGTGGTGTAGTGGATAAGGCATTCGGCTGCCAACAGGACAGTGATGCAAACCCTGAGCTGCTCAGTGGAAGGAAAATGGGGCAATCTGCTTCTGTAAAGATTTACAGCCTCAGAAATTCAATGGGGGTCACTATGAGTTGGAATTGACTTGATGGCTGTGAGTTTGGTTCTAATATAAATATATACACTTCTGACCTCTCTGTGGAGTCCTTAGATGATGCAAGAGATTAATATGTTGAGCTGCTAACAAAATATTGGAGTTTTGAGTCTATCTATCTAGGGTGCCTCAGAAGAAAGGCTTAGTGATCTACTTCCAAAAAATCGGCCACTGAAAACCATATGGGGCATAGTTCTACTCGGATATACGTAGGGTCACCATAAGTTTAGTCAACTCAATAGCAATTGGAAAAAAAAAAAAAAAAAAAGATCTTACCTTACATCAACATGTTGAGGATTTTCTTTTTGACACTGAGGACAGATATATGTCATTCTGTTATTTTCCCCTAAGCGACACACAATTATTCTGCAGTGGCACTGACCACATTTAGAACGCTTATAAACCTTATAATGTTTAGAGACAGCAGATCCTGATTTATTGCACTTAAAAAACAAACAAACAAACAAAAAATTAGCATGTTATTTACAAAACCAGTGTTGCTAAGGAAGCCAAACAAGTACTATTGAAAGTCATCTTTGAAAATCTGTTAAAAATTTACATGTTTGTACTTACATGCATATAATCTTTCCTTTTAACTGAGAAAAAGGTATTGACAAGAATCAGCACTGTTTGACAAATAAGATTTGTGTGGAATACTTAACTCATAATTTTATAACTTAATAGGATTCAAAATTATTCTTTGTATAGCTTTACTCTCTTTTCTAAATGGAATATAAGGGTTCTACAATTAAAATGTCTTCAATGCTTTAACATTTTTTTTTTTAATTACACGTAATTATGTGGTTATAAAAAAAAGACTATGTTAGCTTTCAATCTAATTATTTTTATACATCTTAAGTTGATCACTCAGTTCAATAGTCAAAACATTTATTTCTAGGGGCAAAATTTAAAAAGATCATCTTTGTTGACCTAACAGAGGACAGTATTTCTTTTTTGATCTTACAGATTCAGTAAAAAAGAAAATAAAAATTCAAACGCCATTCTAGCAAAGAATACGTTCCACTTTGATATAAGCTCTATTTCAGAAAACATTTTGATATTTTCTTTCAAACTTTTACTCTACTTACATATATTTAAAAGCTCTTATAAAAGAATATTTTGGGTTTATATGAGCAATGTGAAAATCTAAATGCCTAGAAATGTGGCTCACCATGTTACACAAATAACTTATATTAATTTAAGCAAAGTATGGAAATGTCTAACTTAATCTGGGCAGGAAATGGGCAGTTTTGTCTAATCATCTTTCCCTAGAAGAGCATAATCAGCATATAAATTGAAGAAAAAAAAAAAAAAAAACAGCTACAATTCCTTAGGCAGCTCAATAAAGCAAGAGGT